CACATCGCCCAGCGACTTGGACTAGCTGCAACTTTTATGCAAGGCTTAGTGATAGACTTGGAAGATTACCTTAACTACTTATAAGTAACATAGTCGATTGTAATGGCAAAATACAAGTCTGCCTCAACAACAATCCCTCTCTAAATGCAATAAAGGAGAGGTCGAGCCCTCCTTGAAATTGGCATTTGCGTGGATAAGTCCATCTGCTAAAAACCCCTGAATAAGAACTGTATTATTGCTGTTCATCGTTTATAAGTTGCGTTTCGAGACTACCAGCATATCAGTTATATGAGACGTATTCACATAGACCTACTTTCCCAAAATGTGTTCTCCTCCACACTGAAGTGGACTGCAGTCTCGTCCTCGCCTATGCCTTAACACACCTGCCCCAGCGGAATTCGAACTATGACGCTGCGGCGTGTAATCTCGACACGTTAAAGATTACGCCACATCACCACGAATGCCCTCGGCTCAGAGGGCAGATGTGAATTTCAAGGAAGGCCAGGCATTTTCCCATATCACATTATTTGGTGGGATTGTCGATGAGACAAAGTCACATTTTCCATGAAAATCGAACACATTACTTATTGTTCGTTTATAAGTAGAATTTTGAGACTACCAGTACATCAGTCGTATGCAACATATTCACCCTAATTCATTGAAGTTGAGGAAGGGATGGTAGTTCAATTTTACCACAATCACGTGAGTGTACCTCAAGTTTTCATTTAATTTCACACATCCTTGCTTCCAAAACGCTATCCTCCTCCCGGCTGGAATGGACTGCAGTCTCGACACCTCCATCGTGTCTCGGAGAGCAGATAAAAAGGGAAGATAAAACTCTTGTTCAACTCAAATTAACTCAATTTGTAGCCATTCAGGGTGGCCTAGTTCCTATTTCAATTCGTTACTTCAATTTCCATTTCGCCTGAGGAGGTATGACCTCATTTTTGCAACTTGCTTGCGATGTGTCCTCCCAAATAGTTGTCATGCCAACTTTCGCTGTCAGACCGAGGAACTACTGCTACATTCTTGTACGTTTCACCGGCAACTCGATCTGCATAGTCTGCGGGTCTTGCAATTTATAAAGCCAGACTTCAATTCGTCATAAAGCTAAGCGTAGTCGTCACTTTTACCAACTTCTCAGTGTTGATGTTCGATTCCACGACTGGCAACTGTCGTCACTGACGAGGTCGACTTGGATGCCAAGATGACGTCCGGATATATGCAAAGTCCACGATGAGATGCGGAAATAGGCGATTTTATAAACTACGAATTAGTCAGCCTACATCGGTTGGGTTAGTTGAGTTTTCCCATAATCAAATGAGTAATGCAAACCTCTCCCAGTGGCATCGTGTTTACGCTTACTTATTTTCGATGTACATCGTTTTCGAGATTATCAACATTTCTTGCCTGACAGCTGACTAGGTTGCTGAGGGCAATTTAGAGACCGCTTAAAGTGAAAATGTCACTTTATTAAATCAAAACCTAACCGTATTCGTCGGAAGCGTTACGGCGAGCCTTACGACGAACTTGTGGCCACGCCGTCTGGTGAACAGGCCAAATGAGGCAGGTCTTGTCAGGCATGCAGGCCAAGCCCACCAATCAGAGTGATGAAATTTCCACCAATCACAGCCAGCCATGTCCTGATCTGTCTGTTGTGCCCCATTTCGATTGGCCCAATTGGCGCCAAGTCTGGCTATCCTTGAGACCACTTTAGTGGACAGTTTGGACGAATCCGCATCGCATGTCTGCTCTCAGCCGAGCACCACCTTGAGTAGACCAACTGGCCTCTGGACGTTTGGACCTTGATCAGTGATTGGCTGAAGTCCACCTGAGTAGTATTCGTTTTCGCGTTTACGCCCAAACCCCTCGGCCGTGATCAATACAGCCAGAGTGACGAATGAATGCCCACCTGAGTTATGACAACTAAAATGTCCTCCTACCGCTGGCCCGTTGTCTTCACAGCCTGTTGAGCCTGTTCCAGCCGAAACACGCACTTGATCTTCCCTCCTCACGCCTGATCTTCCCTTCTCCCGCTTTCCGTCAGGCTACCCTTTGCCTTGTCGGGCTCATCTTCAGCCTCGCCTGCCCTCCTCGGCCAGTCGGGCAGATCGCGTCTGAAGCGACCCAAGTCGGGCGGTCAGTCGGCAGCTGTACCCGCCTCAACCTCGATCCCGACGCCGATCGCGACCTCGATCCCGACCCCAATCCCGACGCCGATCGCGAACTCGATCGCGACCTCGATTCCGATCTCGCCCTCGGCCGCCGGGGCTCAGGAGGCATGCGACCCGAAGAGTCCGTCCGCCGGCTCGGTTGTCAAGCCGACCAAGTTGGGCCGGACAAGCG